CCCGCCACAACGCCTGGCCATTTTTTGGTTGCAGCCATCATTGTTGTTGGCAGGCCCAGGCTGGGGATTCGAACCTTAGGTGTATGTGGCTGGTGCCTTAGCCGCTTGAGCCACAGGCGCCGAGCCGTCATTGAAGCTCTTAATGAGGAAGCTGACAAGGCAGATGGGAGAGGTGGTGGAGGAGGTGGGGGAGGGGGCTCACAAACACAGGTGTTCTGCCTGTGGGCGATTTTCTATCAAACCTGTAGCAGAACTAATACACGTGGGTATGGGTTTCGCATCTCCTGCTCCATGCATCGGTGGAGGCGGAGGTGGCTCGTGTGGTCTGACTAAGACCCTTTCCTCAGCTCTAATCAGAAGCTCACTCATCTGACTAAATGGCAAGGCAGAAAGTGAGTAAGATCCATCCATATGATCCACGTACGTCTGAGGTCTTGTTTCAAAATGAGAGGCTGGGCCATTAGCAACTTCAATATGTTTATGTAAGAGATTAGCATCATCTTCAGCCAGCTCTGGACCTTGGGCCAGCTTCTGCCATTCTCTCCGCCTGTCGTGAGGTGCTCTTGGCACTTTTTCTGGTTCATGAGGACGATCTAGATTTTTCTGCTTTTGCTTCCTCTTTTCCTTCCTCTTATCCTTTGTATCTTGCAACATTTTTTCTTTCCACAGATCAAAGAAATATGAAGGGTTGGTATAAAACTTCAAACCTTCTTTACCACCATCTCTATAAGGAGTGAGTATATTGAGAGGTGGAGGCTGTTCACAAACATCATATGTCTCCTGTAAAGGAAAAGGCAAAGTCTTGCGATCAAAAAGCTGCTGATCTTGAATTGTAGAACTTCAGAAAGCTTTTCTCATCGTTATATCTTGCAAAGAAAATTCTTCTTCCTTAGGATCAAGCTGTGTAACACTAACAGATAAATGGTCCACATGTTCTTGCAATGAGTAACTCTGAAGGAAAAACTATGTGCTTCATTGAATAATTCTCCAAATATATCTTCAGCATATTTACTCAGGCTACTTAGTTGTCTAATTATATTTGCCAAGGAAATACTGGTTACACATTCCAGTTCATTCTTAATGTGCTGTGTGGCACAAGTGCCTAGGATCAATGTTTCTTTTCACTAATGGCATCTTGAGGTCAACCTTCTTTGTGCTAGTTCACCCATCAGTGGGAGTAAGACTTCTCTTCCCCCCATATATTGGTTTCTTAACAGTATTGAGTACACTGGATACTTTTTTTTCCATTCATGGATACTTTACTAAAAAAAGAGTGTGTTTCAGTTCCATCCAGGTAAACATAAAAGATGTAAAGTCTCCATCCTTTTATACGACTGCATAGTATTCCAGGGTATACATCTACCACAATTTGTTAATCCATTCATGGGTTGATGGACATCTGGGCTGCTTCCATGACTTGGCAATTATGAATTGGGCTGCAATAAACATTCTAGTGCAAATGTCTTTGTTGTAAAATGATTTTTTTTTAGACGGAGCCTCAAGCTATCCCCCTGGGTAGAGTGCCATGGCATCACAGCTCACAGCAATCTCCAACTCCTGGGCTCAAGCGAGTCTCCTGCCTCAGCC